CAACTTGTAAATTGCTTGAACCTTAACATTGTTAAACATTTTAAACAACGGCTCCAAAAACCTCACTGTTAAATTTTGCAAATTTTCAGATTCAAGCAAAAGCAGATATGAAAAAAATGTCATCACTGAAATCAAATCTGGTTTAGATTTCTTTTACAAGTATACAATAAGAACTTTTAGAATAAAAGTATCAGATCACAGGGCAGTTTTACTCTAGATTTACCCTAAATATAAGACTACCCTAAACAGTACCCTGAGAGTTGAAATTATTATAGAAAAAGGTAATTACTCTAGAAAGCACTGGTCTTAACTGTAACACCAGTAGATTTTNCCCTAGATTACCCTAGATTGAGAAAACAACCATTGTCGAGCTCATGCTCGGATAAAAAAAAAATAAGAACAACGATTCTATGGCACAGAACCCTGTACTATTATCATAAAATAATAATCAGAACAATTCTTAATTCATTGTTCTTAAAAATCTTAATAACTAAAATGTCTTAGGATTTTTAGGCTTTATCAGAAGTATTAATTTACATCTGATATGGAGATATTTAATGTTTTAATTTGGTAATCCCAATTAGACAAACGAGAAAAATCTTGCCTGATCTTTAATCATAAAGTATTTTCATAAATGTAATGAATGCAATTATTTAACTTAATTTTAATTAATTCACTTTCAACATGTAATCTTATCTATCTTAGCTGAAGATAGAAAATTAAATAAGCCATTCACTTGATTTCAAACATACTTTAATACGTAAATGATCAGTTTTAAAAATTCATTTATTTATATATATATTTGCATTTTAACATTTGTTTTGAAGGTTCAAATAAAACAATATTTTTTTTAATACTGGACTGTGCATGCATTAGATTACAAATCATTTCAGTTTTCAAAGAATATCTGTGCAATGTCTTACACAAATGTAGCTGACTAAATATTCGTTCAACAGATGCATTGGAAGCTGGTAATATCATCAATAAACTCAACGATTTTTCAAGATTTTGAAACAAACTCTCCAGCAGCATTTTTTAAATTAAATATTTCTGACAAGTAGGATCTGACAGTATAACTTCTTGACCCCAAGTTATGCCATTCATTGTCTATAACTTGTAAATTGCTTGAACCTTAACATTGTTAAACATTTTAAACAACGGCTCCAAAAACCTCACTGTTAAATTTTGCAAATTTTCAGATTCAAGCAAAAGCAGATATGAAAAAAATGTCATCACTGAAATCAAATCTGGTATAGATTTCTTTTACAAGTATACAATAAGAACTTTTAGAATAAAAGTATCAGATCACAGGGCAGTTTTACTCTAGATTTACCCTAAATATAAGACTACCCTAAACAGTACCCTGAGAGTTGAAATTATTATAGAAAAAGGTAATTACTCTAGAAAGCACTGGTCTTAACTGTAACACCAGTAGATTTTCTGCATTTATACAAATATTGTTTTTGCATAATGTGAGACTTCAGCCTTGTTTACTTACGTAACTATGGCCTGACCTAAATCTTTAACAATACCATTTTATCATTTAAATGTCAACTTTCACACCTGGGAGTTAATCATTCGGTAAGTTCTCAGTCATTAAGGGATGCTTTCTCATAACCTCCTGACCTATTGTTGCAAGTTTGTCAAGTGAATATAGCAACAGACCAATTTTTGGGCAGTCGTCATCCATCCTGCCGACTGTACAGTCGCCTGTTTTTTGAAAGCTTAGTCATCACCTGATTGGAATATTTTGTACTTCTCGCCTTCGGCCCGTTCACCTATTTGTTCCCATGTTGGATTTGCCTAGTCACCGACAACATGGTGAGTGCCCAACATGGATTACCTGAACAGAACATTGGATTAATATTACAGAACATTGAACCAGCGTTATCCTCTGCCCAACTGGAGTTTTTTTTTCTCACAACCAACGTACTCATTCTGGAAATCAAGGTTATTCCAATCAAAGGAAACTACCGATACGTCAGGTATCTATCATCATGTGGTTTTTTATGTAAACTCTCTCTCTTACCACGAAAGCAATTTTTCCCTCTTTAATGAGGAATGTATTTCCTGTAGTTTAACATCTTAGTTTACAATTAAATGTTGTTTTATTAGCCTACTCTCTGTGTAATCACTTCTGGTGCACTATTTCTCTCTCTCACTCCATCCTGAATCAGATCACTCAGTAATGCGACCGCTCGCATGACCTATTTCCAAATCGCTACAGCTTCTGTGTCCCCCCCAGACATGGTGGTGTCTATCCTGAGAAGCCATCAAAGAGGTACCAACCCTCACAATATTGAATAATTCAAAAAATTCTTTGCAATTTTCCTGTTTATATATTCATTTCTCTTTAATAGTTTCCTTTAGTGAGTGACCAATTATCAAATTGGTATCAGAATTACTTGATATTATGCATTATTGGATATTAATACTTTAAACTGATATCTAACATTTCCAATATTATAGGGACAGCTAAAATACATCTTATATAAAAACTCATTTGGCTGAAATTTTAAGTTTTTAGTATTCTCATGTACATTGATAATTGGGTTTCCTCAATACTTCCTTTAGCAAAGGAAATGAGCACCAAACTGGCTGGCCAGTAGACATATTATGAGATATTTTTTGTAACAAATACATAACAAAAATTATTAAAACATTTTAACAAAATATGAAGTTTTCGACCTACTCCTGAGGTCTGCATCAGGTTTAAAGATACAAGTTCTATAATTAAACATATCAAACAAAAAATCTGCAGAATTCTAATCAATAAATTCAAAAAGGTTATAAATACAGTAAGATCCCACTTAACGCTGCCTCGCTTAACGCCAATTCGATATAACGCAGTCTGCTTAAAGCCTAAAAAAGTTCAAAATTTATGCTGATTAAAGTTATCACAGTATTTCATTGATTTGTAAATATAATACAATTATTTGTGAACACAAACCAATCAGCAAAAGATAGTGTACTTTCTTTAAATCTATGTTTGTTTGGTGCAATTTTGGAAAAAATATAACATCATGGATGCCATATGAAATATCGACTTTGCTTGGCAAGAATTAACTGATAAATGCACGAATGAAGTCTGGAAGAAGTTATGGCTGAAGGTACCCAAGAATTCTCAATGAGAAGAGCCTATTGCTGTATCGTTAGGTTGACCAAACTCAACATAATCAATATAGCAGGACTAGGAGATATAGATGAGCAGGATATTGAGGAGTTACAGCAGGTTTCTGGTGAGAGCTTTACCAACAATGACCTTCAAGAACTGGCAGAACATGGAATTCATGTGGAACTAGAAAATAGCGATTCTGAAAACAAAGAACCCAAAAAATTTCTCTATAGCTTTCCTTAGTAAAAGTTTGATAAGATAACCGAAATTGTGATCAAATTGCCGCAAATGATCCAGATTTTGAAAGGAGTGCAAAAGCAAAATGAGGCACTTTGGATGAGATCTTCTGCTACCGACATTTGCTTAAGGAAATAAAAAAAGCGACAAATGAAACATTACGACTTTATTGCAAAAGAACAAGAATTTCAGAAAAGTCAGGACCTTCATCACAAAAAATGAACTTTACATTTCTGTGTGCATATGTTTGTGTGTTATTTAGCATATATTATTATACAAATTAATATATAAATAACTTAAAATTAAAATAAAATTTGTTTATTTTTGGTCGCGTATTCCCCTATCCCTATTTACTCTAAAATGTTAAAATGACTTCATTTAACTATTTCGTTTAGCGCTTTGGTGTCTAGGAACACATCCCCCACATTAAGCGGTATCTTAGGAGTGTAAAGATGTGAATGGATGGGAGTACAGTGTTAAGATCAAATCAAAGTGTGCCTACCAAGTGCATGAAATTTGTTTTTTGTCTTTATGGTTAATACAGTTGCCTAACTAGCTTGCTTTAAAAATCTCCAAGGCCTCTAAAATCTCTAATATGGTCATTATGTCAGGTATAATTTATTAACCTCACAGGGTCAAGTTTAACCTCAACATTTGTTGTCAGAGGCATAAATAGACAGTAATGGATGGTTTCATGTTGTTTATATCATATTTGTGCTCTTTTACATGCTGTTTGAGGGATCTTTATTTGTTCCCATGTTGGATTTGCCTAGTCACCGACAACATGGTGAGTGCCCAACATGGATTACCTGAACAGAACATTGGATTAATATTACAGAANATCTCTAATATGGTCATTATGTCAGGTATAATTTATTAACCTCACAGGGTCAAGTTTAACCTCAACATTTGTTGTCAGAGGCATAAATAGACAGTAATGGATGGTTTCATGTTGTTTATATCATATTTGTGCTCTTTTACATGCTGTTTGAGGGATCTTTTCATGGAACCTACATAAACTAGGTCTCTGTCAATCCTATGATCCTTCAAAGGTATTCTATGAACCCCAGGTGCTCTTTCTTTGTTTATGGCATCCTTCTACTTTCTTTGTAGTGCATATACAGTAAGGTATGCTTGTATGCATTGTAAGTGCCTTTATGTTTTGTTATTTGTTTATATATCACATTCATGTAACATTCGTAAGTAATTACCATTCCTCAGTGTTCATCTGCCCTCTGTTGTTGGTTTATATTGTTATCATAATTATTCTGTGCTTTTTTGAATAACAATGTAGTACAATAAATTATGATCTAACTGAATAATCTGAAGTAAAAATAAACTGCACTTAATTATTAAATTAGATAATATATCTTGAATTTTATTCTATGAACTCAAATAACTATTTTAAACATAACTAAAATAAAACTAAAATAAATATAAAATTTTGTTAGCTGAATCATTATAAAATAAGGGAGCTAATTCTTTTATTGTCTAATTTATAGAAAATATATTACATATCTGATTTTATTACTTTAAAACAAATAATTTGAATAAATATTCATTTTGTTTTTAGTAAATATTCTGAAGATTATCAGAATATTTCAATATATGAGATTAAATTACACATTTATTAAATCAAATTTCTTACCTTCATCACTTTTGTTCTGTAGTAATTCAGATTTTAGACTTCCTGAATAATTACTTGGACCAGGTAATGAGGAAATTTCTGAGAATACAGTTTTATTCTTATATGATGCAACAGGAAAATTTGTAGATTCATCAAATCTTAATATTGGTTTGATATCTGAAAATTAAATATATTTTTTATTCTACTTACATCCTAATTAAAGTAAACCTTACATTTCAATAACTTCAATCTAAATAATACAATGTGTTTGAAAAGTCATTATGCAATTACAGTCATGTTATAATTAAGCTAACCATTTCTTGATGCCATAACAAAATGGAGAAGCCAAAGCCAACAAATACAGGTAACCCTCGTATAACACAGTAGTTACGTTCTGAAAAATTGTGGTGTTATGCGAATCCGTGTTATACGAAACAAAGAACTAATACGAAAAGGAGGGTTAGGTTCCAAAAATTAAAAAACATGCTAGTATATTTTCATAATTAAGATAAATATCTTCATTAAAATTTTTTTAAGTGATACATATTAATATAAATTAAACAATGTTTTCTTCGTCATCACTAAAAACACTATTAATTAACCGAGAGCGTTTTCTTTTTGGCAAGTTATCCTTATCCTCTGAGCATTTTTCTGCATTATCTTCAGATCCATGCTTTACCTTTTGCAAAATGTATGTAATTTTAGATTGCTTGCTTCTAGTTAAAAGGTCTTTATAAATTTCCTTATATGGTGCTAAGCACTTATGAAGAATAAAGCAAGTATGGAATAAGGGAAAAACATTCGGCAACATCAGAAGCAGAAGCGTCGCGATCTGGCAACATTGAAACAAGTTTCGAGAAGGACCACGTGTATCGACAGAAGGCGAGAAGAGAAAATTTACATACTTAAGTACTAATAGTTCACGAAAATAATAATTTTCGTGAACTATTATTATTTAAGTATGTAAAAATTTATTACATTTCCTGTTGTATGAGGGTTTTACCCAATTCTCGAACCGTGTCAGAGTAAATCCGTGCTATAAAAGTACCGTGTTATACGGGGGATGGTACCAATTCTCGAATCGTGTTAGAGTGAATCCGTGCTATAAAAGTACCGTGTTATACGGGGGATGGTACCAATTCTCGAACCATGTTAGAGTGAATCTGTGCTATAGAAGTGCCTTGTTATATGGGGGTTACCTGTACAAGTTGCAATTTTGTCTTATAATTGCTTTCATCACTTCAATATTTAACCTCAACTTCTCTTTTGACAACAAGGAATTCATGAGTTAAAATATTCTTTCTACATAAGCTTAGTTCCTGGAAAATAAAAGACTAATTCTATCAGATTATTAAAATCATTGAATTCAAGATCTTTTTTTGTGCATTTCATTAAATATTTTGAATTGTGTCAGCTACAACAATTTTTTCTTTATTCCATTTCTCCAAGGATTTAGTTTTACTCTTGTCTTTATTAACAACCAATTATTAAATAATAAAATTTTACCTGTTTCTCTTAATTAAAACTATTCTGTATTCTTCCTCAGTAGTATCTATTTCAGTTTAAGCCCTTTATCAATGCAGAATAAACTTTTTCTAACAAATTACAAGTTCAGAATAATAATATATGAATGTGTTTAATGCATAACTAGAGAGCTATGTTTTTTGATTTTCAAAAACAGGATAAAAATGAAAATGTTACTAAAATGGCAGAATGACCAGGACAGACTAAAAAACCTGTATTATCCAGCTCAAAATGGTATGAATAGTCAGCCAAGTTCTAATATATGACTTAATAACAAATACAATATTTTATAGCATATAAAATGTAACATTTTCTAAAAAAAAAAGGCTTTAAAAAATTATCCTGCATCTTATATGTGAAGTTGCAATCCCACATATGCTAATAAATTTCACTACTGGACCTCAGCAGGTTTCAGCCTAATTCTTGAATAAAAAGGCTATTGTTTAATTACACATATTTTTATTTCTAATTATAATTATTTAAAATGATTAGCATGAGGAATATAATATAGTGCTGAAAATGAAAATGCATTATATACATATTTTATGAAGTATATGATATATAGTTAATTATATAATAACTTTTCAAACATATTTAATTTTGATTATTATTTATACAAAATGAATAATTTATATTTTCTCTCAATTATTTTAACAGTCGCATGCAGATGACGGGGGTCACTTTGTGACTCCTGCTCATATTTTTGTTTTTTTAATGTTTTTAAAAATTAATACAGTGGAACCTCGGTATACGTCTGCTTTAGAATACGTCCAATTCGGAATACGTCCTGTTTGGACGAAACAAATTTTGCTCGATATACGACTTTTATTCAGTAATCGACTTAATTCAATTATACATGCCATCTATGAACAATTAGCATTATCGGTGTACTACACTAGACTAGACGTTCGCGATGCTAAGGTTTATAACTTTGTTAAATTTCTTCTGATTTTAATTTGTAAGTAACATTTTATTATTTTTATTAATCATGAATTGCAAAAGGGCAACAGAAAAATAAAAAAATGACTAGAATCACAACGGAACTGAAAAAAGAGATTGTTGAGAAATATGAAGGTGGCACGCGTGTTCGAGATTTAACGAGATTTAACTGTTGCACTCTGTATTCCGAGAACGACGATATCGACAATCATGAAAAATAAAGACATTATTAAATTTGCTAACGTTACGAAAGGGGTTAAATCAATTTCTAAACAGAGATCAAAGACATTAGATCATGTCGAGAAATTGCTTTTGCTTTGGATAACTGAAAAACAGTGTGCCGGCGACAGCGTATCGGAAGAAATTTTTTGCGAGAAAGTTAAAAGGATACATGCTGCTCTCATGAAAAATCAAGCAGAAACTAGCCAGGAAAGCGAGGTGTTTAAAGCCAGCCATTTTTTTTACATGAGAACGGATTAATCATTTTTACATTACTTCTTATGGAAAAGGTTGGTTTGGTATACGTCCTATTCGGTATAAGTCCAAACACCAGGAACGGATTAAGGTCGTATACCGAGGTTCCACTGTATTTCAAAATATTAATTTTAAAATTTTAATTTTTTTTACTTTTATCCCCTATGATTTGTGAATACTTTGGAGTATATTTGACAAAAATTCAGTAATTATAGTGGTTCCTATAAAAAAAATATCTGATGCTGCATGACGGATTATTGCACCCGTGTGAATATTATATTATTTTGATTTGAAGAATTGTAATCCTCAGTATAGTAGTAACTATAAAGTATATTTATTAACTGAGAAGCCAGAGATTATTCATTATTATAATTCAACCAAAGCAGGAGTTGATACCCTTGACAAATATATTAGAACATATAGCTGTCAGCGTGGAACAAAATGACCATTGGCTGTGTTTTTTAATTTTATCAATCTAGTCACGTATAATTTGTATGTGTTTTATTGCGAGGCAAATGAAATTTGCGCCAAGAAATATCCAAAACTTGAATCAGGAAGAAAAGATTTTTAAAGAGTCTAAGCAAATTATTACGTCAAATCAACATGAAATACATATCTGAACATTCCCAAGGTTTACATAGCAGTTCAGTATCAGCACTAAAAGTATTTGGCTTTGAATGCAATCAAGTGGGAGAAATTTCAAGAGGGACAGTTCAAACAGAACCAAAGGGAAGAGCAACACAGAATGCTACTAAAAGTATTCCTAAAAAGGGAGATGCTTTCTATGTCCAAGATCAGAAGACGGAAAATATATGAAATCTTGTACAAAGTGTGTGAAATACATTTTCCCTAGATATACATCAAAAGAGGAATGCTGTATTGTTAAAACATGTACTGAGTGCAAATTAACTTAATTTTATAATAATTATTTTCAACAATAAAAATTGTTTTGAGTTCTAAAAGTTGAGTTATTTTAAAAATCCAAAGTTATAGAAACAAACATATTAATAAAAAATATATCAATTTGGGGTCAACTTCTAACCCCCATCATTTACAATGTATAAATTTTATTTAGAGTTGGGGTTACTTACTGACTCCCCTCATCTGGGTTTTCATGGTACACTTTTAACATCCAGATGTGACTGTTAAGTATTAAAAAAATTTTATGAGTTTTGGATTAATACAAGAGAAACAGTTCATTTAATAGATATTTTTCAAAGATGCATATGTTGTTTTAACTTTAAATAATTAAAATCATGTGTCACTTAATACATACAATGCATTCTGTGAAATAGGATATTATGCAATTTGGACATTGAGTAAACATTATATTATATACAAACTTATCAAGCCTATATGGCAGGGATGGCCAACATGTAGACCGCGGTTGACCACAAAGGTTTTGAAAGTAGCCCGTGAAGCTAAAGTTGAACAATTTGCTTTCACTTAAATTAATGTTTAAAAATCTTAATTTGATAATTTATTCTTACAATAATAGACTGTCTGTGCAATGTACCCATACTGTTTATATTTATCCCAATGAACAATGCAAATGAATGTTAACGCATGCACATATAAATGGCAATTGCATAAAATGGTGCAAAATCATGTGTCAGACAGTAACATGACACATTCATAGTCGCTCGCAGACTATATTTTACCGAAAAAGTAGCCCCTAAGGGATAAAAGTTTGGCCACACCTGCTATATGGGATAATATAACATACCTGTATTGACTAAATAGCCAAGATACTGTATATTAATATATGTTAGGCTCAAAGACCGAAATCACTCATTGAGCGAAAAAAAATTGTGGCTGTTTGTAAAAATAGCCACAAAGTGAAGTTTGCATCGTGGTAGTTGTAAAAACTGCCACAACGTGTTGTGGCTAACTTAAAATGACCACAAAGCATTCAAGAAATTCAAGTCATGATATTTGACCATTAAGCATTGTGGTGATTAAGAAAAGCCATGACATGTTCTGAATGTTAGCTGATGCAACCACAATACGAAGGATAATAGGTTGTAACTTGTCAACGGGCACATTGCAAACACTTGCGGAGTTTGTATTGTGTTCATTCTCGACCAGTGCTGCCATTTCTAGGGTAATTACCCTTTTCTACAGTAATTTCAACCTCTCAGAGTAATGTTTTGGGTAGTTTTATATTTAGGGTAAATCTAGTGTAAAACTACCCTATGTTCTGATGCTATTACTCATCACTCCAAAAATTTCGCTGGAAAAAGTTTTAGCCTAAAATCATTCTGTTTTTCCTTATAACTGGAGGGTTTTAGGATAGGACAACAGAAACTAAAGAAATAATGCAGATTGATGCTAGGTACATCGATGTACACTGTACAGTGATATTTTGGTTTTCGTCAATAATCCATCCGAAACTGACGATAACCGAAGTCGAAGAAAACCGAGGTATTACTGTACATTACACCTGAGTAGGATTTCGCTTTTCTCAACCTTCATGCCATTGAGCCATTGGCACTCTCCATATCAGATGTAAATTAATACCTCTGATAAAGTCTAAAAATCCTAAGACATTTTAGTTATTAAAATTTGCAAAAACAGTAATTGTTCTGATTATTATTTCACAATAATAGTACAGGAATTTGCATCATAGAATCGTTCGTCTTTTCTTTTATTCGAGCTTGAGCTCAAGCTCGGAGAGTTTTCTCAATTTAGGGTAATTTTCTGCAGTTGAAATTGGTTCGATTGTTTTAGTTAGGGTGCCTAATGTTGATAGGGGACATGCAGGTCCTAGAAATGTTTTAGCTGTTGTTATGAGCATTAATCCATCAGGTCTCTATTCAGTTATCAGGTCATCAGGTCAGTTAGAAAACATGGAAAGTCTTCTTAATCAACTTTATGCTTGTAATGAATTTACAATTTCTACAGTAACCTTATTAATATTCAGAACACACCCTCAACTTTATTAACATGTCACTCAGCATCCATGTTAACATCTGGAAGTAGCAAGGGTTTATAATGTGTCACTGTAAAAGATACTGTATTGATAAAAATGCAAATGTCACTCAAAGAACATAAAATGCATGAATAATTGAATGTTGTTGTAAAGTAACCAAGTTAAATTTCTGTATATGGTGAATAATTTTGTTATCTGCATATATAAAATGATTGAAGATAAATCATAATGAAAAAGAAAGTTTTATTATCTTATCACTGCTCGTTATTAGTTAACATCCAGAAGATATGGTGGCTTTTAACCGTAATAAATCCATCACACTGTGGTTTTTAACTTTAGCAGCTGATTTTTATTTTATAGCATATAGTATATGAAGCACCTGCAAGTATATGTAATTAGATCTTTAGCACTTTTTAGCAAAACATAAGAAATAAATGTGTATTTTTCTCCATATATTTTATTTCTTTGAAATTTTTTTAAGTATGAAAATTAAATTTCCAGGAAAACTTGTAGAACTAATGTTGTTTGGCATTAAAAATTGTAAATAAAAGTGTTTTGAACCTATAATCCATATTTTAAAGTTACAAACCACTGTGCATCATGTGATCCTGTATCATGGTTGCATCAGCTAACGTTCAGAATGCGTTATGGCTTTTCTTAATCACCACAACGCATAGTGGTCAAATATCATGAAAGCCATGACGCGAATTTCACTTTGTGGTTGTTTTGAGTTAGTTACAACACGTTATGGCCATTTTTACCACTGCCATGACATGAATTTCACTTTGTGGCCATTTTTAAAAACAGCCACAATGCAAATTTTGCTTCGTGGCCATTGAAACGACCACAACATGTTGTGGTTGTTTTTTTTGCTCAATGAGCGATTTCAGTCTTTGAGCCTAACATACATACATAATGAACATTCTGATTAATACTGTAATTATTCCTAGGTGCACAATTTTGTTTATATAATATTTATTTTAAATCTGCAAAATTCTAAAATCTTTTTGCAAACTTTTTGAAAATTTATATTCGAGAGCTTGGTAATGTTGATTACATATTAAACTTTATGCCTGGGAGCACAATTGCATTGTACTGTACACAAGATACATGAGATAGCATTGCAAAGTCTTTTAATAAGTTTTCTCCTATACTAACTATATTTTCCCATCACATAAGATCATCCTCAAGATTTCCACAAAATTTTCCATTCTCCAATATTATAATCTTATGGAACCACAGATTTATGTGTAGTTGGATATTGCCTATATGCTATGTGAAGCATGACTGTATATGTTTAGTAAAAACTAAATTTATTTTAAAATAATTATTAAATACATAAAAAAGAAATGTCTAAAATGGAAACAACAGTAATTTTGGAAGGATTTCATTTTATATAGAATTATATTTTTATTAATGCAGATAAAAAGAAAAATCAAAGTGTTACAACACATGTATTTTTTTAAATTTATAATTCTCTTCAACTGATCATTATTAATGCAGATAAACAAACAAACAAAGAATTTTTTTAGGCAGTGATCTAAAAATTGCCGTAAACAATATTAGATTGTAAGAACATTATACACAAAAGAATTAAAATCACTAGAATAAGATAAGTATATTGGAGTTGACACTCATCAGGAATACATATGTTTCAACTAGTGTCACATATTGTTGATACACAAATTCAAAATAAAACATTTAATTAGTACTTTTGCTTGTTATACTCAAGCGTCATCATAATTTATAAAAAAAAAAAAAGAAAACAACAGAATTTGATTATATAGAACTTACTCCAATTTGAAATTTAAAAATATCGGATTTATACAAAGATATATATTAAATAACTAGTTATTTAATATATATGTAGAAAAAAGATTAAATAAAATAATTCCAAACATCTGAAATTTATATTGATGATATACTGAAAGCCCTATTATATGTAATTAAAAGTTTCTTCCAGGGATAAAATAATTGAACTGGAAAATGTATGTATTATTTTCACATTGTTCTAATCAGGTGTAAAGCATAATTGAAATGATGTGAAAATAAATTCTGTTCTTAAAAAATTAATATTTCTTTTGGATTAATAAAAGTAATTTTTTGTATACTTACCTGGAATATTAGAATTGCATTTTGTTGTTGAAGTGTTAGAAATTGAAGAATAAGATACTAAAGTTTCATTCTCATTTAATGGGTTTATCTGAAATGAATGACCATTTGTCCCCGTTGTTATTGTTGATATATTCATTGGTGTAGATGTAGTTTCGACTGAATTCTGAAGTGAATCATCCTGATATAAAGTTTTCTGAAATTACAAAAAAATATAATTCATTCGTAATAAATTTAAAAATATTATTAGACAAATTCAAATATTTAAACAGAATAACTTCAATGCTATCAAATAAGAATTGTTCAATAAATACATAAACTAAGATATAACAATATCTTCTTTCTTTTGTGTCTTTAACAAAATTTCCATAAATGGCTAAAATATTTTATCATCCTTCCCTCATACATACTTTGCTCATACACTTGTATATTACTTATCCCATTTTCTACGTGATCAACCAGTTGTTCTATTTATCAAATAATAATAACATTATTATTATTATGTTGGGTTTAGTGGGTTATACTCGGTTGACACTGGTAGCTGTGTACTATGCCAGACCAGAGTCAAGGCATTGCAATGAAAAACAAAGCTAAAATTAAATAAGTGTGTCAGTGTTTGTATTTAGAAATTTCCTAACAATATGGCATGTATTCAATATAGTGGCCTTCTATACTGTGATGTATGTATTTCTATTCAATTGTAATGTTCCCAGGCTTTTGTGTAGTGTGTGGGGTATCACACCTGTACAGGAGAGAATGACAGGTACAATAAGCACCCTTTCCATCCTCTACAGATGCCTTATTTCCTGGACAAGTTCCGTGTACATGCTGATTTTTTCAGTGAATGTGTTTTGTATATTGTGAGTGTTTGGAATGACTATTCTATAATGTATGTGATTTTATTGTGTTTGTCAATGAGTATGATGTCTGGTCTGTTGTGGTAAATTGTTTTATCTGTGATTATGGTTCTGTTGTAGTACATTTTGTGCAGATTGTTTTCCAATACTGTCTGTGGTATTTGTAGTATGGTTCGTGAATGTCTAATAATTTGTGTTTGTTTGCAAGCTCTTGGTGTATTATATTTGCTACTTGATTATGTCTGTGTAAATAATCTGTCTGTGCCAAGAGCTTGCACCCAGATGTAATGTGTTGTATAGTTTCTGGCATGATGTGACATTTTCTGCATGTGTCATTTGTGAGTGTTGTATCTTTGAGTATGTGTTTTCTGTAGTTTTTAGTATTTATGACCTGATCCTGTATGGCAATCATGAATCCTTCCATCTCCCCAAAGAGGCATCCCCCGATCTAACCAGCTGTTTGATGCAGTTTTGTCAACATTATTATTATACAATTTTATTAATAATAATTTTAAATACTAAAACTGAAAAAGAATGAAATAGAGAAAAATTTTAAATGTTGAAAATAAATTATTTTTTTTTATCATAAAAATTTTTAAATAATTTAGATAACTTTTAAAATTCATATCATAAATTCCAAATTTATTTATTTATTCATCTGCAGAAATTAAAATAATTCTATTCTAGTAAAAATTTATACTTTAAAAATAAAAAACAAAAATAAAATGTTAGATGGTGTCCTTTTTCCAATAGCAACAATGACTAGACATCAAAGCTCTTGTATGAGGCCAGACCGTTACCTGGAAACCTGCAGTCATTCAGGTGATTGGATAAAAATTGACTGTCCATCCAAGTAATTGGACACATAAAGGTAAAAAATAGAGATTTTGGGCCTGAAGGAGTGTTTGGAAGTCTGACAAGGAATTTGCCAATGGACTGTGTGGGAAATGAATTGCAGAGATATGATCAGATTCTCAATATTCAGGACTCAAGAAAAAAGAAGTGATTGAAACTGAATGGAAATCAACTATGTAGACATCTATACATCAACTGAAGCTGAACATTATCGGGCCAGAAACGGCTATGTAATAACCGTCAATGGTTATATTGTTAGCTTATATATGCTGGAAGAGGAAATCGGACTGAAGGTCTGGGTAGTGTAATTGGCAATGCATCTGCATGGTAAGCAGGAGTTGCTTGCGGGTTTGAGTCCCGCTTCGGGCCGATTCTTTTCTTCCAGCAATTCTAAAATTATTATTTAAATTATTTAATTAATTTATAATTATTAAATTTATCAAGAGATGGCACCTAACACCTAACTCTAATACCAAATTGTTTATTAAATTATTAGTAATATAGCTGTTTCTGGCCCGATAATATTCGGCTTTGGTTGATGTGTAGCTTTAAAACATATCGAGTCTAGTAAGGATGTTTATTATGTAGACATCTATCATATTCTCAGCAGCAAATGTACTGTACAAACCCTGTATAACTTGTAACACTCTCTCAGAACCAGTAACTGATTAACCACATGTGTAACTATGATCTTTAATAGATGTATAGTTGGCACAATGAGAGATTGCACTTGGTCAATTCTAATTGTGTCTATTTTAGGGGAACTAGGGTGACTGTATTACTCTCTAGCCCTCCTCTACTTTTCCAATTATCATCCAGACTCTAAAAGGTTACTTTCGTTTACACAAATGCTCTTTTCAAGGAAAAATGACATATTATAACCAGTGTGGTGGAGTTGGTAACAAATAGTCTGACTTTGATTCTGAACCTTTGACTCCAACCTTTCTCCTTTTTAACATGTCACACTATGAATCCTTTCATAACAAAGATCCCTCTTGGTGTCTGAATATTTTTAAATAAAATTTCTCTATAAAAATTGTACTAAAACTTATGGTGAGAATCAAAAAATAGATAAAACAAATTTACTTTGAAAAATTTTGGGTACATAAAAAAACATCTATATCTTAATCAGTCAAAAGAATTCCACTTTTATTAATTAAGTATCAAAAATTGATTTAAATTTAATCCTTTCAAAGATAAAAATTCAGTACAATAAAATGCAAAAACAGTTTGATGAATGATCTAATACAGGGATTGGCTACCTTTTTGTTGCTAAGGGCGCAATAATAATTTTAAAAACTATCGAGGACACATAGCTTAATTTTTGAAAAAAAAAATCACAATGTTGTAATAAATAAACAACACAATTATGTCTTGAAATATGTATATTTATACAAAATAAAGATTATACATGCATGTAATAACTAAAAATTGAAAATTAAAAGTACATACATAATACAACACAAAATAAATTAAGTAAAATTACAATAAAAAATAAAAAATTGCCAGGACAAATTATGACATCTATAAAGAAAATATTTTTCTTCTTGACTATACATACATAGATTTGTCTTTGTCTACTAACAAAATGTAATTATTAATTTGTAAGCCACCGCTAGAGGATGTTTTTAACTGTTTTACATTTTACGGCAAACGGTAGCCTACATAGAAAGGTCGACTTCGCCGGTGGAATTGTTATTGCCTCATACAGCGTGTGAAAGGACAGAAAGTAGACAAAGACTCATCTATGTATGTATAGTCAAGAAGAAATATATTTTCTATATAGATAAAATTACAATTACCGTAAGACCTCGTTTAAACGAGATGTTTTCCTAGACAAGAAAACACTAAATGAAACAGCATTAAACAAGGTCATTTTAACACACCATGTTAGAGTAAATAGGGATAGTGGAACATGCAACCAAAAATAAAAAAAATTTTACTTTAATTTTAAGTTATTTTTATATTAATTTGTATAATAATACAGTAGCCCCCCTATAACGCTTAGATACGTTCCATGTTAATCGAATTTTACATTGTAGGAATCATTAAATACATCAGCCAATCGCAGCCTGACACGTGTGAAGTTTACAGACTAAGGCTGTTTGAAAGGTTTTCTTCTATAAAATTAACCGATTCTAGACTAATTCCACTCAACATTTCCAAAACATGTATAATTTTTTGGGAATAATCCGTATAAACTATGCTATAAACAAAAAATTGTACGATTACTTACCGAGTGTGCACCGTTCGACTACGCCGTTGCTCAAGCTTCTTTTTTGTCGCAGAACAGCGCACGAAACGGCAGCCACGATTTCTGATAACGAATTTTTCGCAGAAAAATAACTTGACCTTTGGAGACATCATTAATATAAATAATTTTTATGGCCGTTGAATAAGAAATGTTTCTTTCACAAGAAATGTATAAAATTAGTGCTGTATTAGACTTACGGTACCTAATTTACATACTGTACAGACGATAATAAACTCAACTTACTAGCCTAAAATCTC